GTGATGGTAGGTGATAGTTCATATGCATCAACTATCTAGAGTAATGTTGAGCAATCGAGTGAATTATAGTGTATCCATTTTTGGGGAATCTTTATTGTCAAGTGAAGTTATATATTTTAGTTTTGATTGGATATTCAAGACCCCAAGGCAGACCTTTAGTTTGTTGTGAGGATGTTCTTCATAGAATTGAACTGCTAATACATTCATTGATATTCCACCAAGTTCTCCGAAGGTTAGGGATCAATAGTTAGTTATTTCTCCATGTTATTCCTGCAATTACCACCATGCAATGGTTTTGTATAATTTTTAAAGTACTTTCTGGATGGTATCCCTTTTTTTTTGTGATGTTGCTTTCAGTTGCTCCTTCAAATACTCATTTTTGTTTGATGATGATTAATGATGATTAAGATTTTGATTATGATGATGATTGATGATGATGATATGATGATGATGATGATGATGATGATTATGATTGATGATGATGATGATGATGATGATGATTGATGATGATGATTTTATTATCATGATGATGATGATGATTCCTTTTTTAGGGTGGTATTTTAAATATCTCGAAGCTATCACATTTTGCATGATTTTATTGCTTATAAATGATTAAAGAAGTTAGATATTTAAGTGCACACTCTACTTAATATTTTTCTTCTCTCTATTGCCAAGAAACTAATGATGCCAACTTTAGAAATAATTTTGATGTTTCTCTGCACTTGTGTTTATGAGACTCCTATTCTTGTACAAATCTATCTTTACGAAATGCTTTTTTTTCTTATCAAATTTGTTTCCTCTTTTATTACAATACTATAGTAATCATCAATACAATAAAACTACTACAAGATGACAAATGAAATAATAGATGGTATTAGTAGAAAAATAACTTATCGAGTGTGTATGAATATGTGTATATGAGTAATTGTGGAAATATATAGATTCATATATAAATAGATAGAAAGATGGATCGATTGACAGATACATAAATACTCACATCCATCAGAAAGTACCTAGGAACACACGTGGAATTATACCTACATAAACAGACTGCTACACAATTTTACCCATTTCGCTCACCCGCAGGCAGAGCGAGACAATTTGGTTCATTTTGTTAGTTGGCAGGATTGACTGACCTGTGAGTGACATATTTGGACCTGCATTTTTTCAAGTCGCACTGTGTCTCCATCTCAGCACCCCTAATGAAGTCAAAAGTAACCGTAACTTGAGGTAAATTGACACCAACTTTCTCAAACTACCTTCTGCATTATGTTATATGCAGGAGCAACACTATGAAGCCTCATTCCAGTGTAATTTATTTATTCTCAAAAGATATGATATTCAAATACTCACCAATTATTAATTATTGTTTTGATGTTAAAAGTCACCTCTACATAATGTGAACTTGGTGGCACCTGTAATATTGACCTTCATCAAAAAATATAGAACAAAAATATCTTGGTAAGTTGCATTCTTTTCAAAGTTTTCTCCATTTCTTTAATATGAAGAAAGAAAGAAAGAAAAAATATAAATGTATAAATATCTATGCTTTAGTTATCAAACGTACTAATGTTACTTATGCTTTGATCTTTCATTTTACATGTTTCAACTCTCATATTATTATAATATTCTCTTTAAACATTTTGAAAGAGTGTGAAAGAACAAAGTTCACGTCTTTTAGTGTAAGTCATCCTACAACACAAATATACACTAAAGACAAACAACACAGCATGAAGAAAATTGGGGTTATAAAACACCTCAAAATACTTACTAACATGTACTTCATAGTAATAGCTCTATTGTACAATAATTATCTACATAGGGAAGACCAGTATATATATACTACACCTTGTCAGAGCTAAGATGCAACACGCAATACCAACACTTTAGTGCATGTTGCACAAACTTCCGAGGCTTTAAGCCCTCCAAAGAGAGGCCCTCAGCTGATGTCAACCCCATAAAAGGGTGGTGACAAATTAGCATTATAAATACCTTGTCATAAAAAGAGAGAAAAGTGACGATAATTAAAACAACTCCATACATCTTGTAATTTTATGCAAAAATATTCATTTCAGATTAAGTTAGTCAAAAAATAATTATTATGTGGGAGGAGGTCTTTCTATGAGAAAAGGGAAAATTGGGCGGTGGTCGGGGGAAGGGAGGGGAGGGGGGCAATCCTTATGAATACACTGTGTGAAATACATACTGTACAAAGTCTGAAAAGGTCTCACAAAAACTTTTCCTTACTCCACTGCTTTTGAAAGACTAAGAGATAAAAGTTAGTCATCCTATTGCCAATTTTCATTTTATAAATGATAAATATAGTCATCTCAATATGCTAACATGATTAAGTATTCACTGTCCCACACATTGAGAGTACTACCTGGTTCTTCAAAATAAATGAAGTAAAAGATGAGATTTCTTTCTCTTTCCTGCACATGTTTTATAATCATGACAAAAGAAAGAAAGAAAAATCAACACAAATATAAAACCGGTAATTAGGAAAGAGGAATAAAAAAAAAATAAAAATCTGAATAAATTCATAAACATAGTCATGTCTAAATGTTGATAATTATACAACCATCACTTTGAAGCATTGCAGATTGTAAATGTTTTTTCCACTCTTATTTGAAAAGCAAAGTAAAGTAAAACAAAAGGAAAACTTCAATATTCAATTAAACCAAAAGAGGAGGAGGAGGAGGAGGAGAGGTAGAAAGGAAGAGAGAAGAGAAGGAGGAAGAGGAAGAGGAAAAGGAGGAGGAAGAAGAGGAAGAGGAGGAGGAGGAGGAGGAGGAGGAGGAAGAAGAGGAAGAAGTAGAGCTGTAAAGATTGGTTAATACCAGGATGCACACTGTACATCATTTAACTAGGTCTTGAATTGAAACACAATGTACAGGCTACATATCCACAAAATGGTGACAAAGCATGATACAGACACACCATAAATTTGATATCTTGTTTTTATCCTGAATAAATAAGTTTCTGAATAAAGAAGTCAAAAGATAAATACAGTATAGTTATGCATCAATTTTTGTAATATCAAATGCAAGATCTCAAATGAACCTAAATAAAGATCAAAACATTGCACTCACATATTTGTTACCTATAATTTTTGTTTTTAAAGGAAACAAACTTCATCAATTTTGTCCTTTTTGGGGGAGGGGGATGCAAAAACTCCTTTCATAATATTCAAAGTACATGAAATAGTAACTCAAGTAATACTGACTGACAACAGATTCATCACAGTACAACATATAAATATACAACACGAAAAAAAAAAAAAAAAAATCAATTATCAATATAAAAATACTGACAATATTCATAATATATAGCACACAGACAACAATCCCTCTAGTCCATTCTTTACCGGGAAACCATTTCTGTTACACAAAGACAAAGCTTGCATCAACAATGACATGACAAGACGTGAAATATACACTGAAGGATCTCCAAAATGTTGTTTAAAAAATAGTGAATTCTAATATTTGAAAAAAGAAAAGAAAAAGAAGAAAAAACTAAATTGATTTTTTAAAGACACATACCTCCTGGCATATGAACACTTGCAAAACCACTTTTTATGTCATTATGAACTGTGAGCAATATTTATGGGCCATCACTTCAAGCCTATTTTCAAAAAGATGTGAAGCAATTTTTTTTTTTTTTTAAGTTTTTGTTGAGGTTTGTACTGGTAAGAAAGTCTGTAGAGATAACTAACAACCATTACTTAGTTTTAAGGCACTTCTTTAATTTTTTATCTAAGATTTCCTTTGTTATTTCATATCGGATAGCTTTCCGTAGATCTTCAAGCACCCTTTTCATGACAAGGTTCACTGTTTTGTCTTTTGGATAACTAACATCGTCATTGGTAAACTCTGAACTGTCCATCTTTTCATTCAAAATATCTAAGGGGAAGGTTTCGCACGCTAGCTCAAATTCAGCATCTAAAGAGCTTGTCTTTATGGTATTACTCCTTTTACTATGGCTGCTCTTATAGGGGTGGACGCGTCTTACATTTTTCAGGCTGGATTCGGCTTTTAAACTATTATCCTTGAATGTCACATGTTCTGAAAGAGGCTTTTTGTAATTTGGAGGGGGTACAGTAGGGAGATTTTTGGGGAGGGGCGGTATCCCCACTAAGGGAGAAATACCTGGGGTTAATACCTGGCCATTCACTGGAGTTTTTACACTACCCTTCCCTGCATTACCATCATTATTTAATTGTGCCTTTGCATTTGAATCTACAAAGTCCATATTTGAGAGCTTGGATGCTCTTCTTAACTTCACAGTCTCCCTGTGCCAGTAGAGGTACATGTGTCTAGAAATAAAGGGGGAAGGTGTTGGAGACAGTGGCTGATCTAGGTCATTCATTTTGTCCATCTTGTCCTGCTTGTCTAAAGACAGAGGTAGTTTACTTAGTGGCTTCTTTACTTTGGGAGGTGATGGGTCGCTGACAGAGGGTCCTGTGCCAAACATGATCTTGAGTCTCGTGTCTAAATTCGGTCTTGCCGGAGATTCTTGAGGGGTCTTGCTGTCACCCGAGAAAGAGACTTCATTTGAGAAAGATACCCTCTTCTTCTTGGTGTCCGATTTTGCTCTTTCAGGTGTTTTTAGGGAACTGGTGAAGTTCTCCATTGAAGTTCCAGCTTTGGGGTTTCTAACATACTTGTTAATCAGGGAATCTTCCTGACTCTCCTCAACTGGTGAAGATTCAGTGCTCGAAGAAGGAGAGAACATGGCTTCCTCGGGGTCATAAGGTTCCTCTTCCATAACAGCACCTTGGGCATCTTCATTTGGCACGTACGAGAAGGCTGACTGTAGAGTATTTGAGTGCAGAGGTGGTGGTGGAGGGGTAGGAGTGTGGTTTCTGCGAGATACATTATTTCGGGGGTTCGTGGTACCATTGGTGGACTGTTGGTGAGCTGGCTTCCCTGACGGCTGGGAAGACACAATGCTTGGGATTGGTTTGCCAGGAGGAGCTTTGGCAATATTTTTCTTTTCTT